TATCTATCTATCTGTCTATCTATCTATCTACGAGGTATCTATCTATCTATCTATCTATCTATGTCATCAATTTGCTGGAACAACTAGCTTCTTCTCATCTTATATGATCTCCTTATGACTGTCCTTTATTTACTCCACAGCTGACCCCTTCATTCCAGTGACGCTGCCTCACTCTAAGACTATCAATCTGTTTCTACCTTCATTGACTTTCTTTTTTTTTAGGGGGGGGGCTCCCAGCCTTTCTGTATTTCCCCCCACCACCCCCACCTCTCTGTCTGTCTGTCTGTCTGTCTGTCTGTCTGTCTGTCTGTCTGTCTGTCTGTCTCTCTCTCTCTCTCTCTCTCTCTCTGTGTGTGTGTGTGTGTGTGTGTGTGTGGGATCTCTGAAACAGGGAAATTATGTGTAAACCCCACGACGTTGTTTACGATATTTAGTACAACGAACCATCTTTACCATTTTTCGGTCGTGTCATCGATTCTTTACTTGCTACTGTGATGACGACAAAGTAATGTTTAAGTTTCATTTTTCGTTTCATTTGATTAATTGATTTTTGGACCATGAGATTAAAAGATCGATTTCGAGATTGATTGATAGAATTAGAGCGTTTTGATGAGAGTTGAATACGGTTAAATGTACTTCTCATCCATCACTAAAACTCGAGCTTTGTCTCAAGTAAATAACCGATGCCCCAAAAATAAAAGGACAAACGAATTAAAAACAAAAGATCTGTGTGAGCTTGAACTGAATCAGCCTGCAACAAACCCGTACAGAAAATCGGTAGTGCAAGAATTATATTGAAGTCTGTCATCGCTTTGCTTTCAATAAATTGCACACAAGAGCTTCCTGTTTACGTCATTCGGTAACAAAACCACTTGGAATATCGGCGATACATTGATCATATCGCTTTCATGGTGTCTAGGGCATAATCACAATAGATGACGATGCATTGATCTGTTTCTAAGGTCAAGAGGGGCACATGTAAGTGCAGTATCACGTCCTCTGGATTTTGTTGGTGTTTATTGTGACTGTAAATAATATGTTGTCTTATCCACTGCAGTTGCCATCGTCGTTGTTGTTGCTGTTGTCGTTGTTGTTGTTGATGATGATGATGATGACGATGATGATGATGATGGTGTTGTTATTGATGTTGTTGTTGTTGTTGTTGTTGTTGTTGTTGTTGTTGCTGTGTTGTTGCTGCTGCTGCTGCTGCTGCTGCTGCTGCT